CCATATGACATCTTCACAGCACCTATGCTTCCCATACAGGATGGCATTCCTCAAAACTAGATTTCTGATCACTTTGACACCCCATCCTTACATCAGACAGATTTGTACTGTATTCAGAATCCAAGGGTGTTTTTATACTGGAGATATTGTTTGTGGCAGCAGGTTGTACATTAGCATTTGATCAATGTGCATCTGCCCCAGTAGATTCTCCTAATCATTTTACATTTCCAAAACAAAGCCTGGAAGGTAATTCCAGAGAGTAATCTAGCGTGAAGATGGGAACAGCCCTGTCAGAGTATTGTCAATGCCCCAGGTTAGACATTGAAAAATCATCATGTTGAATTATGGTGAGAAGCTAAAAAGTAACATGACTGCCCCCAGGTCCATTCTTCTCCAAAACTGAAACCTTACTAGGAGGATTATAACACCTTCACTCATTCAGATTGTCAGCAGTTACCCAAGTGTCACTTCTCAAATTGCAATGTGTTGTTTTTTTACTCATGGAAGTACTTCCCCCAAGTCATTCGTGGAATAGAAATGATATTGTGTAAAGACTGTAACCATTATTTGCTAAGACCTCAGCAGTGGCTTCTCTCTACAATGGAAGATATAAAACACAATTCCTAATCGAGAACTGACTGGATGTATCTTTGAAAATGTCAGCATTCTCTCTATTGTGTCAACACTGAAATCGTCGACCTTTCGTTGAAAAGGATGCTTCAGTTTATAAGAATAGGCTGTGATGTGAAGAGGGAAATATAAAAGGCATCCCACTGGTTATATACAGTGGTACCTCTGGTTACGTACTTAATTCGTTCCGGAGGTCCGTTCTTAACCTGAAACTGTTCTTAACCTGAAGCACCACTTTAGCTAATGGGGCCTCCCACTGCTGCCGCGCCGCTGGAGCACGATTTCTGTTCTCACCCTGAAGCAAAGTTTTTTCTTTGTACCCAAGGTACTATTTCTGGGTTAGCGGAGTCTGTAACCTGAAGCATATGTAACCTGAAGTGTATGTAACCTGAGGTACCACTGTATAATGATAAATGTAAGACAATCACATTGCAGAGCATTCAATTATCTGAACAGTATGCATATAAAAATCAGTTCCAATAGCTTTCTAAGGATATATCCCATGTAAGAACTGCCATGCTGAGTCAAACCAAAAGGCTATTTAACTCCAGAAGTGGCCAGTCAGATATTAGTTTATTAGTTTATTTCCATTTATTAATTGCTTCCAGCAAAATTCCTCATCACCATTTAACAAGAGACAACGTTAGCAATAAAAACAATTACAACAACTTCACCTATAAAGCAATTACAACCATTTCAAATATAAATCAAACAATTTCAAATCTCATATGGATACACACTGCAATAAAAGAACTTCCACTTGAAAACCCTTTCCAAGAAATTTTATGAATGGAGATTTTTGTTCCAGGTTTTCAAAAGGCACCAAGGAGACAATAATAGATTGATGGTGCCTGGGAATCAAGTTTGCATGAGTCAAGTCTTTGCCTACCCCACATCTGTAGTTGGGGGGCAGGTGGGTGCGGCTTGCCTAAAATGGCCACATTGACCAAATGGGGAGGCTTCAGGGGGCCTTTGGGTCACTCCTTCATGGTGTGATGAGAGCAAGGACCCCAGGGTAACTGGTTGTGAATGAGCTTGCTGGAGAGAGATAGAGATTGGAGCAGGTGTGGCTGTGGGAATGTGACTTAACTTGACTTTGGGTGACAGGTGGGATGCTGGAGAGAGCATATATGGTAAGGGCATAAATGCAGCCCACAATCCCCTATCTAGAGTGGTTGGTGGACATTTTGTGCTTTTGCTATTTTATATTGTTTTGATTATGTCGATTGTACTTTGGGGGCCTTTGTTTCAGAAAGCTGCATATAAACAAACCATAACCAAATGCAACATCACTGGAACAGAGGTGGGTTGGGATGGAGTAGACAGAGAAAAAGAAGCAATATATGAGACAGATTCTCCTGTGATCCATCCATTGGAGGGCTGTGCTTGTAGCTATTTACCAGCAGAATGTTGTCTGCAGGGATCTAGTTTATACTAGTGATGTGTGTGCTATAATGGTGCTGACATTACTACTGTCAGATTAATTGAACATTCGGCCCAGAGCCATGTGTACCGTCAGGCACTGATTCTCCAGAGTCCGGAGTGGGATCGTTCTTAGCCTGCTGGCTTACCAACCAGAGATCAAACTCTTTTATATATGTGATGCATGAACTCTGCCACTGAACTGGAGTCTCTTCTACAAGCTAACCCTATATATATTATTGGATTTTTTTTGTTTTGTTTAGTGTACATGCCTGCTCCTGCCAACCTAGCAGTTCGAAAGCACGTCAAAGTGCAAGTAGATAAATAGTGGGAAGGTAAACGGTGTTTCCGTGCGCTGCCACTCATGCTGGCCACATGACCTGGAAGCTGTACGCCGGCTCCCTCGGCCAATAAAGTGAGATGAGAACCGCAACCCCAGAGTCGGCCACGACTGGACCTAATGGTCAGGGGCCCCTTTACCTAGTGTACATGACTATTAATTAGTTATTTGTTAGTTCAACACAGGGGTGTTTTACTGGAGGGAGGATTGTGTGGATCGAGTAATGTGGTGGATTTAAGGAGATCATTGAATGATTTTGTGGGGATGTCTCCGTTTTGTGGAGTGTGAATGTGCATGCAATTTTTGTGTGTGATTGCAATGCACTTTTGGTAACATTTATGAAATGCTGATGATATATTGTAATGATGTTGCATTTTGATGCGTCAGTATATTTTCATATTTTATATATCATTTGTGGCTAAGTCCCTTGTTTAAAGATATTTAATTATGTTACTTAAAATGTAGAATTATTAGTAGTAAACTTAACGTGGCTTGGTTTTGAATGTGTATTGCGTTTCCTGTATGGGATTCGTAAATTGCTTAGGGATTTTCTGTTGAAATATGAAGCGGTGTGTAGACAAACTAAAGGAATTAACAAAGAGCCTTGCACGCCCACACATCTAATTATTTTGCAAACAAGATTTAATAATTCTCATGATGTCCGTGTGTGCCACTCTAATTGGTGTTTCCCCCCTCCACTTTCTATTATATTTGCTCCTTCTACTTCTAATGCATCCATAGTAAATTTCATGTTATATGCTGTTAGCAATTTACAGTTTGTTAATAATGAGGAAAGGTCGTGCTCCTTGTCTTGCTCTGCACATTTGTGTCTCATTCTCACTGTTGACTTCAGCAGGCAAATGAATATTTTCCAACTGTTCATCCAGTGTTACCTTCAGGTCACGTTCAGCTTGCTTGTTCTTGATGAGCAACGTGCATGAATGAACTGTCAGATTAATTTTTCAGAGGCACGCACTGCTTCATAAGCATAAGCACATCTGCTAATTAAAAGAAGACTGATGTAATTGTGCCTGATATAGAATTGTCATCGACTCATTTCCAAATAGTTACCTTGTAATTAAGTGTTTCATTAGTGCTTAAAAGGGGCCTAGGAAGACATAAAACGCAGTCCAAAGTAAAACGTTTGCCAGGGAATATAATAATTGGCGCTCACTGGTTTTGCAGCTCTCTACACAAGATTTACTTATTTATTTATAAAGCCAGATGAACTTCCTGATAGCCGCAACTGCTAGCATTAGTTTTGATTCCCGGAAAAGCATCTCAAGGGCAGCACATATCGACTTGGTTGCCTGGACGTTAATGGAATTAATTGGCTAATACGAGTAGATGTTTCTGCCTGATGAACTGCAGAGTTTATGTAGTAGTATGAAGGACGAAGTACAGGTGGAGTTTAGCCAGATGCAGCCATTTAAAAATCTGCTGGATTGGTTCTATGTGCAGTCCTACATTTCAAGTAAGTGAAATGCAACCCTTTAGGTTCTGCTTTTTTGTTTTTTAAGGAAGGGGCTATAGATCAGTAGTAGAAAACCTGCTTGGCATATAGAAGGCTCCAGGTTTCTCTAAATAAAAAGATTTATCTGCCCATCTTTCTGGTGGCATCCCCTCCCTGCCTCTATTCCACACACCCCCTTCCAACAGGTCCCCAGTGCAGCTTGCAAAAACAAATGAAAACAAAAATATCTAAACAAGAACATTAAAACCCCAGAATATTAAAAGAGCAGCATTAAAGCAGTCAATTAATGTGCATGTGAAAATAGGCTCTGGTGGATGAGACCAACAGTGGGTCCAACAGTCTAGAAGGTGGTTTCTGCTTGTGCATTAAGAGGAAAGTAAGAGGCAGACAGGGGTCATCAACCTGGGAAGGTAGCCCATCTAGGAGAAGGAAAACTCTAATCCTAAACCTAGTGTACATTTTCTCGTGTCCATCTTGTGGACATCTTCCCAACAAAGGCTTTTAATGATACTGGAGACCAGTGCAGCTTGGAATCTACACATATCTATGCCATGCTTATAGATCCAGTGCTTTTTGCCCCTTGATAAAGTGACATTACCAGATGTTGACTTTCCCCCCCTTTTTTAGAGTATTCAATCTTTTGACAAGGAACAGACTTTGAATTCATTTTCCCTCAGAATTTTGTGCACTTATACATAATGTTTCCTGAGTGATGATGTGCTTGACTCTGCAATTTTCTGCTACTGCCAATTTCCCCAGGATTTTGATTGGATTGCAAAGTATTTCCTATGAGCACTTAGGGATAATGCTCATAGCTTCTGCAAGTGTGATGGCTATTTGGTAGCGCTGCATATCAGCGCCTTGCCCATAGCAAACTGGTTGTGAGCAAATACTGGACATTTTGCCAACTACTGGAAACCTATGTTGTTATAGAGTGCATGCTAAAAGTCTAATTCTGTGGCAGGGATCAACTGCACATGCCTGGCTTGCTGAGACAGGCCACATGATCAGGAGCAACCATGTCCTCTGTGACCATGAAAATGGCCTTTGTACTTGCACAATTGCACAAACCAAGGAAATTGAAACGTATGATTCTAAATGCCACGTTCTCTCTTTTTTTTTGGTGACATCAAGGTGTGCATTGTACAAAAGAGAGATACAGAGAAGATGTATGCCATGAAGTACATGAATAAACAGCAGTGCGTTGAAAGGGATGAGGTTCGAAATGTGTTCAGAGAACTGGAGATCCTGCAGGAAATTGAGCATGCCTTCTTGGTGAATCTCTGGTGAATCTCTTATTTTCTTTTATTTATTTTAGGGATGGGTGGGAGGTGATTCTGTTCCACCAATTGTGCCTAGGACCATGTTAGTCTTAGAAGAAGCGGGTTTGGGGACACAGCAGTATGTAAGGTCTGGTTTTCAAAATGCCATAATACATAACAGGAGATAGCAGAGTCCTTAGACAGCAGCAAAGAAAAAGTAGCATTATAGAAGTCCATAGTACCACTACTAGTAGGTTCAGAGGGGTAACTGTTTTAAAAAAAACCTAATTAAGCTTTAAAGGGACGCGGGTGGCGCTGTGGTAAAAGCCTCAGCGCCTAGGGCTTGCCGATCAAAAGGTCGGCGGTTCGAATCCCCGCGGCGGGGTGCGCTCCCGTTGCTCGGTCCCAGCGCCTGCCAACCTAGCAGTTCGAAAGCACCCCCGGGTGCAAGTAGATAAATAGGGACCGCTTACTAGCGGGAAGGTAAACGGCGTTTCCGTGTGCTGCGCTGGCTCGCCAGATGCAGCTTTGTCACGCTGGCCACGTGACCCGGAAGTGTCTCCGGACAGCGCTGGCTCCCGGCCTCTTAAGTGAGATGGGCGCACAACCCTAGAGTCTGTCAAGACTGGCCCGTAAGGGCAGGGGTACCTTTAACTTTACCTTTAATTAAGCTTTAGGACACCCTCTGAAAAAGAAAAAAAAGATTTTGGGGTTGATCCAAGTTGGGTGTCCCCTGGGTGGCTTTGCCTAGTCCTACCTTTTCACAGAAGCAGCTTGACAGGTGGGGCAGAGCCACTCTGCTACCTTCCCAGCAAGCCGGCCTCTGTTGCTTAATAGCAGGGACAAGGGAAGGGCACTGGATTGGCCAACGCCCTCCCACCTTCACCTTCACCCTCCCAATGAGCAGCAATGACCCATCTGCTGGGAAGGTTACATAGCGACTCTGTCCCACCCAGGGAGCCACTTCCATTTTTTAACCCTTGTTTCCTAGCCATTTACATCATCATCAAGATGCTCTAACCTTCCATGGTGAGTCTCTGTTGCCCACTGGCTTCCACTTTTAACCATTGCTCAGCTCTACATTGTCCAATACAGTTGTACCTTTATTGTAGAATGCCTTGGTACTTGTACCTTTCGGCTCCCAAATGATCGAAACCTGGAAGTCAGTGTTCCGGTTTTTGAACATGTTTTTGGAAGCTGAATGTCCGATGCGGCTTCTGCTATTATTTCCGGCATGCCTGCGCAATCGGAAGCCAATCGGAAGCCGCGCCTTGGTTTCCGAATGTTTTGGAAGTTGGACGGACTTCCGGAATGCATTCTGTTAAAAAACCAAGGTACGACTGTATAAAGAATATCTCCAGGCCCGGGGTGCCCTTCAACTCCTAGATCATCAAGAGGCTAGATAGCAGCAACTCCAGCTTGCCAATGAATCATTCGCACTGATGGCACTGGTTTTTGTTTAATAATGAAAAGAGACAGCCTGCTTGATATTCTGGTACATTATTGATTATGCCTGGAAAAAAATGAGTGTGGAATGATCATATTACAGAAGCCATGTGACTGAGCCAGATATAGAAGCGGGGATTATATGAGCAAGGTAAAATTAACTGGGACAGCTGCTCCTCGCAAGATATGAAACAGGGACCTGTTCATATAATCAGCAAAACAAAATAACAAAATTGATTTATCTAGAACAAATATAGGATGGCAATGGACAAAAAGAGACTCGGAGAAATTCGCGGGTTGTATTTAGATATATAAATATTGAAGATGCCTACTTATTGTTCCTGCTTTGCAGGTGCATGGGTAAGTGAAGTGGGAAAACAGGCCTCTCATTTGTTAGCACCGTCTGTGAAATCTGAATGGGTAGTCCACAGTTTGCTCAACTCACCTTTGCTAATTTTCCGCAGGTACTCATTTCAGGATGAAGAGGACATGTTTATGGTAGTGGATTTACTCCTGGGTGGTGACCTACGTTATCATCTCCAGCAAAACGTGCAGTTCACCGAGGAAACGGTGAAACTCTATATCTGTGAGATGGCATCAGCTTTAGACTATTTGCGCAGTCAGCATATTATACACAGGTAACAGCACAATCTGTTATTCCCAGCTGTTGGGAACTGGCACAGCTATCAAACAAATCAGGCTCCTTTGAGAGAGCTTTTGAGCTGGTTGCAGCTAGTGCAAGTCCCCACCCCCACATTCGATCTGCGGCCCATTTAGGCCAGATGGCTCCATGCCTGTCCTGATCTGGGTCTGATCCAAACCCTGAGCTGAATCAGGGGCCTGGCAAAGCACTAGGCTATTAAAAACATGTGAGGAAAAGGAGGAGATCCAGGTAGAGACTTTCACCTGCACTATCTCTTTCTTCCCCCCTCTCATCACCTGAGCACATATTTAATTGGGGTTTTAATTGGCCCAATTTGGTTTGAGATGTGGGATTTGTCCAGAGCAGATGCACAGTCCTAGATTCAGCTAGGTGGAATCTCGGCAAGAAAACAGACCAATAAATACTGCCAATATAAATATTGGCAGTAAATGCAGCGATGGAGCAAGCCGACCGGGTGCCTCCAAGGAGTCTGCCTGCCACTTCCCACTCAGCCACCCTACAGCTGAGTGGGAGGCAGCGGGCAGCGCAGAGCCTGCGGGCGCTCAAGCCACCGCGTCACTCCCAGGAGAGACACATGGCTCGGGCACGCTGCAGGCCCCACAGTGAGTGCCGCCCACCATTTTGTCACCCGACTGAGTAAGGAAACCCAGAGCGGACCGCACCTACCTCACCCCCCCCCGTGCTACACCCCTGAGTAAATGTCAGGAACTGGGATAAGGAGTAAAGGTAAAGGGACCCCTGACCATTAGGTCCAGTCGTGGCCAACTCTGGGGTTGCGGTGCTCACCTCACTTTATTGGCCGAGGGAGCCGGCGTACAGCTTCCAGGTCATGTGGCCAGAGCAGCACACGGAAACCTATTTATCTACTTGCACTTTGACGTGCTTTTGAACTGCTAGGTTTGCAGGAGCAGGAACCGAGCAACGGGAGCTCACCCTGTCGCGGGGATTTGAACCGCCGACCCTCTGATCGGCAAGTCCTAGGCTCTGTGGTTTAACCCACAGTGCCACCTGCATCCCTTCGGGGTAAGGAGTAGGTCAGCAATAAAAAACACCGGTGTAAGCGAAGTCAACTCTTTATTCAAAGAAATAAAAACAGCACGGGTCTAGTGATCACAGGAACTCTTCCCAGTAGGTCTTGCCACAAAGAGATAGTTGTGAGAACTGAAGGTCCCCACTTTCCTACCACTCCTACCACTCCTCCCCTGGTTCCTTCCCCCAAAGCCTAAGACTCTATGGCCTTGTCTCTTGTTGCTCCACCCTCTTCATTCCTCTCGGTGTTCTGGGAGATTGGGGAGAGGGGGAGGGGAGGGGAGGGGAGCTGGTCACTGCAGGAAAGGGAGACTTCCTGGATTCTTCAGCAGCCTGACTCATCTCTGCTTCCTTCCTCCAAGTCTGAATTGCTCTCTGCCCCAGCATCTTCCTGCTCAGTAAACCCTGTTGCCTCTCCAGCTTCTGACACCTCCTCCTCCCAGTCTGTCTCTTCTTCTTCCTCTTCCCACTCATTGTCACCCCACCACCAATCTCCTGGCTCTGAACCTTCTTCCCATGCAGGATCCCTTGGGGGTTCCCCTGCTGGTGCCTCCCACCACGCCTCTGCTATATTATAACATTTAAGGAAATGGGAGATCCATTCACAAATCTCTGTTGCCTCTTCTTAGGTCCTGAGAAAACTGGATCTGATTTCAGGCTGTGTTCAGAACATAGCATTCTCTTGTTTACTGAGCCTGTTTTAAGGTGTGTGTTTTTCAAATCAAGCTTCCTCTGTGAGTTTCACCCCACCGTCTTTTCTAATTGCACTGGGCCATATTTTTGAAAATCTCAAAACAACAACAACAACCCACTGTTTGGTAGGCTCATGAGGCATTTTGCATTTGCCTGTTCCAAGTTGTGCATAAATGCTTGTTTTTGCTTTCCAGAGACGTGAAACCAGACAATATTCTCCTTGATGAACAAGGTATGGGGGAAATTGCTAATTATGTCTATTGCTTCTGCCTCTGAATAGTCTTCGCCCCCTGGTTTTTGTTTTTTTCTTTCTCTTTTGCATTCATTTACATCTTCCGATTTATACTGCATTTCTGTGGTTGTGAATGATAAATAGAAGGTTATGGGATCGAAAGCAAATCGATTCCGTTCATCTGCCGTCAAGACTTGTTTCAGTGAAGAATTAGCAGTAATTGACATTGACTGGTAGCTACTATTACTCATTCCGGAAAGCTTTTTCATAAGTGCAGCTGATATGTAATTCCTCTGCTGATATAGAAACCTTGCACAAAGGTACATATTTATACATTTATTTTTTTAAAAAAATAAGTTTTGACATCTATGTGCCTGCTTGGGTAGGCAGAGGCAAGAATAAAGTGTTCTGCTGTGATTAAATTTCTGGTTGGCAAGCCAGGAATAAAGGAAGAGTCCACAATTCTGCTTGGTTTTGAGAGGATAAGGGTTGTGGCTCAGTGGTAGATGACATGCTTTGCAGACCAAAGGTTCCAGGTTCGATCCCCAGGCTGGGGAAAGACCCTCATCTGAAACTTTCAAGAGCCACATCCAGTCAGTGTGGTTACGGAATACTCTTTTCTGAACTGTGTAGATGATAGGAAGGCATCTTCCTGTGACACCCACATGGAGCTTCATCGGAACAGAGGCTTCCACTTCCACTTTAGCATTTACGAGTATTGGTGCTCATCCTCATGTGGGGCTCTGTGTCTTTATCAACGATCCTATGAATGCAACACAGCTTTAGAACAGGAGTTATTCAGAGCGTAAACATATCACCACATGCAGGTTGCTTTCCTGGAGTTCTGCCATCTATATGTAAGGTTTGGGATGTTGGCCTTTCAGGAACTGGTTGGATGAGAGATTATGAGAGGCTTCAGCAGGAGAAGAGGAAGGCTTTGAGCCAGGGGAGTGGTGGTGGGTCACGGAAGACAGATCAGAGGATGAAGCTGGGGGCAGAATGGTTAGATGCTGAAGCAAGCAACAGGCTTCCGTGGGTGAGAGGAAGAAGAGGTAGAAAACACTGAAGATGTAGGACAGTCAGCTGAAGAAGAGGTAGGGACAGAAGCTGCAACGGATTCACAGGAGCCTGCCAGTCTTACTGTATTCAGCTTCCCTTCCCCTTGTCTCTAAGGGCTCGGAGAAGGAGACTTAGGTGGAAAAACAGAAAATAAAATACAGGAGTGTTTTGCATTAGGGGAAATTGCTTGCAAAAGTGAGTATGTTAGCCAAAACTGCATACAAAGATGTGTTTACTAGGAAAAATTCAGAGTAAAACGTTGATGATTTTTCATTATTATTATTTTTAAAAATGCAAATTGCTGCCTAAATGCAGAGAACCAAATTTAAGATGGGAAAAATGAGAACTGAAACGGCAAGATTCACCCATCCCTATCTGCCATGGAACTATGCAGACTACAGGACGTATCTCGGGCTCCAACTACAAGGGATGATGGCAGACCTCTACCGTTAAAAGCTGTACTTTCCCAACCAGGAGTGCTGCAGTGTTTGTGTCCCTCTGTGAAATCTAATGTGCTAAATGGGTGCGAAGACAGTGGGGAGGAGAGTCCAACTCCTCCTGCCTTTGGGAGCTTTAAATGCCATTCCCAGACCCAGCTTTATATGACTTTGGTAGAACCACATTTAAAAACACCGGCTCAGTTATATTTAGTCTGAGTCATCTTTTCCCTGTAATGAAACTCCTTCAAGAACCAAATAGAGAGGGTGGCACATTTCATCCTTTTCAGCGTGAGCTTAGATTTGATGGCACTTGAATGAATTCATGCAATGTGTGATTCTAATGGTTTGCAATCGGCGGCTGGATGATTTGTTCATGTGTCCCCCTGGTGGTGTCTTCAGCTCTTTTTCACTCAGGCAACAGCACATTCCCATATCCAGTAGCTTTTCACAAGCCAAGAAAGAGAAGTGGCAAAGGTGTGGCCTACTGTGACCCCAGTCTTCTTAAAAGCTTTTATCCTACATGTAAACATGCATAAGCCTACATGCATTTAAAGTGCTGTAGCTTATGCGTTAGTTTATCAACAGAGAAGAGGTTCAAGCAAGCTGGTTTTTCCCTACTCTTGTTCTAAGGAGAATCCTGGGAAGAGCATGTCCTTTTGCTAGTGATGCCAAGGAAAAGAGTTAAATGAAAGTGATGCCTGTTGCAGAGCATATTGACGTAATTTCTAAATTACATACCATAAGTTGGCCAAAATACCAAGTTGTCATCTTGACCCATTGTAAAAAAAATCTCAATGGATCAGAACAACAACTTCTATACTAAAATTACCACGATTAGTTCACAGTGCAATATGCAGAGGTGCTTCACAATTCTAGATTTACATAAAATGGTATTATTCTTCCTCTGATATATGTTATTCTGGAATTTTTAAAACAAATTCTAGAAAGTCTTGATGGAGCATCCCTCCCTTTTTAAAATGTATTGACGTACAGGTTGAATTCATAAGATAATGAAAAATAATTCCAAATCTAGGCAATTTTTGTGGATCCTTATTCCCGAGTCCTAATTTGCTGTCATTATCTGCAAGCTTCCACTACCTGTTTTATTTGCATAACATAAACCACATGGGAGCACAGAGTAAGGTTACTTAAACCGACTGAAATCAATATGCCTAAGCAACCATGTTTTGGATTAAGTTCTATTCTGCTTCTAAAATCCAGATTTTTTATGATTCTAGAATTTTTTTTACCAGGATGAGGCAAATGGAACACAGAGAACACTGGGGAAATTGTGGAAGAGTGGCTTATTGGTGTAATGAAGCCTCATTCCAAACCACTAGAAAGCTTGTGCAATCTTCCTTCAATGGTGGATTTGCCAGATGTCATCAATATGCGCCCACACTTTTTTTCTGAATTCACAAGGACTAGAAACTTGTGTTTTAAAATGAAAACTGAGTTTTTTTAAGCATGCTGAATTCTACAGCAGACACCAGATTCTGTGCATAATGCCTAATAGCCAGACATAATTCTTATACAGCAGCTTTATTTATCTTAATAAGAGCTAATATTGCTTGCCAGCCAGCTACAGAAAATATTTGGGGATGGTGTGACTACATGCATTAATGTTGTCCTCTGAAGTAGTTTCTTTCTGGACAACTTGGACACTTTGGGTTTTCATTCTAAAAATATGTGCTGGTTTTCTTCCTTTTAAGGCCATGCACACCTAACAGATTTTAATATTGCAACAATCATCCGTGATGGTGAAAGAGCAACCGCGTTAGCTGGGACTAAGCCATATATGGGTAAGCCAAACCTTGCCAGTTTTAAATAATAACATATTTTATCATATTCTTCCTGCATAAAACTGTTAGGATTCCCTGTGTAGCTTTCCCCCTGTGCCAGTTAGAACTGACCACCTCAAGATCTTTTATTAATGGTGCGGAAACTCAGGCAAAACACTTTCCCCCTGAACAACCAGCAAATATACAAAACCCAAAAACATTGAGCAAAAAATCCCTTCAGACACAATTAAAAACAGCACTTTAAATAACAGGACTGAAAAAAAAAGAAGAGGACTCAGTCAAACACTTGAGCAAATAGCAAAGTTTTAGCTGCCTCTGTAAACAGAAATGCTCCTGGATCTCATTTGACAGAGCGTCTCATGGAGTGATCTGGTTTGTACGTCACAGTATTCCAGTCAATGGGACATGCACCCCCAGCCACTTTGTTCCTTCCTGTCCTTTTAGCTCGGAGCAGCTTCTAAACCAAGGTTTGGCTTAAGTGTGACAGCCAAACCCAGGCTTGCAGTTAAGGTTTATTCTTGGTTGCAACTCATGGTTCAGAAGACACACTAAACCAAAGCTTGGCTTAGCTCAGCATGGCACGCAAGTTAAGGAGAAAAGCAGCTGCAAGCTCCTCTCTGGGAGCTCACACTTTTGCACAAATTAGTCCATTGGGTGTGACTGCAGAGAATGTCCTGCTTCTGGTAACTACGGATCTTGAGTATGGCTTCCATTGATGACTGGGGCATGTGGGCAAGTACATATGGAAGAAAAGAGTCCTTGACGTCCCTAGGTCCTAAGCCAAACTTTAAAGGTCAAAATGAGCAGCTTGATTTGAGCTTGAAAACAACCTATCCCCTCCCCAAGCCTCTGAGGAAAAGCATTTTCAGAGCTATGTATCTTATTCTTGTTTCAATAGGACTGCAGTCCTGTACCCACTAAACCTGGCAGTAAATTCCACTGAAATGAGCGGGGTGTACTTCTGAATAGACATTTACAGGAATGCGCTGTTAGTTTACAGCCAGTTTCATAGAAACCAGGGTGGTATTTCTCATCTGGTTTCCCAACATGAAGGTCATAGCCGGTAACCAATAAGGGAAGAGGCCAGGCCGCAGGGAGGTTGGCGCATTGTGGGTGCAGCAGCAGAGACAATCAAATACCCCAACTGCTGCTCCTGCCCCAGCCTCTCTCCTGCCTCTCCCCTCTCCCTTTTGGTTACCGTCAGTGATCCCTGCATTGGGAAGCCAGATGAGCAATGCCACCCCATTCTGCTCTGCTCCACTGCCTGCTACTGACCAAAGCCAAAACGGATGGAGGCATTCAGTAGTGTCCCCCCTTCTTTATCTTTTCAGCTCCGGAGATCTTTCATTCCTTTCTGAATGGTGGAACTGGTTACTCCTTCGAAGTTGACTGGTGGTCCCTGGGAGTGATGGCATACGAGCTCCTCCGTGGATGGGTATCCTGTTCTTTAGTGTTTAAAAAAGATTGTTTGGCATTATTTCAGTGCTTTGTGTTCCTCAGAAGTAAGCCTGGGATTCCACCCACCCACCCCCGGTTTTTCAATATCTTTTTTCCTTCTTTTTCTCAGAGGCCTTATGACATCCACTCTAACAGCCCCGTGGAATCCTTAGTTCAGTTGTTCAGCACCGTGAGTGTCCAGTACGTAACAGGATGGTCAAAGGACACGGTCGCCTTATTAAGAAAGGTAAATAACTTATCTATCCGGGAAGGGTTGCAATTATTTATTAGCACAATGCAAATAGTAAGGGCCTTGATCCAAGGAGACGTGCTCATGCTAACTTGCCTGCATGTTGCTGCACGCATGTATCTGTGATTGCTTGGTCTCCAGACAGATGGCACCCTGTGCATTGTTTCCAATGCAATGCCAGGAAGCAAGCTATGCATCTCTGGGATTTGAATGCAGAGCTACTCTGCTTGGAACAATATTCACAGTGCCCTTTTGCTCAGAGGCTCCTCAGTCCAGACTATGTGCCACTCCCTCTAGAGAAGAACCATAGCAACGTCCAACCTAGTGGATGCTGTAAACTTTCACCAACCTAGTGCCCTTTAGATGTTTTTGACTACAACTCCCATCAGTCTCAGGGGCACCATCTGGAGAGCACCAGGTTGGCAAAGGCTGCTCTAGACTGGGTGCCATCGTTGAGATTCGTGGAATTAGCACGCTAAGGAAAAGCCTATGAAATAGACAAGTGAGGTGATCCTCCAGCTCCTGATCTGCTTTCTGGTGTGACTCGAATTCATTTACAGCTGTTCTCTTTGCAAGGCTTAAATATTACCAGCCAACAATTATTAGGTTATATTTTTTTCACTCATAAACATTAGGACTGTGCACGGATATCCCCCACACAAGATCTACACTGCGGCCCCGTTCTGTGGGCCCTGGATCAGACTCGTTTGCCCTGTATGCCACCCACCCTGCCCCAAATCCACCCCAAAGCAATTTGGGGGCAGAGCTAAGGGATTTTACAGGGTTGTTTTTTTTTAAATGCTACTTCAACATATGGTTAAAATAGGGTTTAAAAATACAGTTAGAAGGAGGGTGTACACCAGCATTGCACAGGATTGGATCCTCCCACTTAATAGCAAGCGGATCCAGTCCTGCATGGTGCTGCTTCGGGGGAAGGAATAATGCAACCGCCCAGTTGGTCCCTTATTTTTTAAAGCTTCTCTTCCATGCCTGCCTCTCCTTCCTGCTTGGCACCCTGCCCCCCCCCCTCAAACAGCTCCAAAGAAGCTTGACTTGGCTTTGGGCTTTGGGCTTTGGGCCTTGAGTGAATCCATTGCACAGCCCTAATAAGTGTTAGTAAGAAGCTGTGGTTATTATTATTACTTAACAGAGCAATTGTTTACATGTGAACAAGTTCTGATGTACATCCAGAATGCCCTTACCTGCAAGGCCTGTCCCCATCCTTTCCCTGGAGGAACTGCTCCCAGGTTATAGATCAGGTTCATCAACTGAAATGAAGGAGATAACTGATATGAATATCTGGGTGTGTACAGAATTCAGCATTAGCATGATAATTATGGAAAGCAGTAGCCAATTATTGCAACTTCTTGTAAGTTCGGGGTAGAGTGCGGGTGTTTGGAAGCCTAGTAGTTTGTCAGAATTATCACTCTCTAATAGTGAATTCAGGTGCTGAGTGCTGACAGCATTGGAGCTACAAAAGGGGGGTGGCGATGCGAAAGAAGAGGGAATGTGCTCGGGGAAACCCCAAGAGTTTCACAAGTCTAGACAAACTTCAGAAACAAAACCCCTCAAAGGAGAACTGGGCATGCTCAGTAGCCATGGGCTGTCAAGTGTCATTTGGAAAAGAAGAATGAAAAAACCTGGGATTAGGATGGAATGGAATGTCCTGTAGTACAGCTGGCTGGCTGGAACCTAGAGCACAAGTCCTGTTGTTAGGAGATAAGGATACGTCGCAGCATTCTGTTGCCGGCTCCACCTGTAATATCTTAGAGGCAACGTGGAGGAGAGCAATCCAGGCTTCCAGTGGCTTTTCTGTATAGCCCCTTGCACTCAGATAAAGAAACTCATGTTCATTTTTCAGTAACAGTTACCAAGTAATATGTGCCTCATTAGATAACGTTTTCCTATTTCTGTGAGAGAGGAAACTTGTCATTCTGTGTTTATAAATGTTGGATAGTTTTTAAAAGCTAGATTTCAGCATCCTGTTAAAAATATATATAAAAATGCATAAACCCAACAGTAATAGCAATTGAGCATCTCCAGTGTAAACCAATGGAAGGTGGACAATATACATAATTAAAGTTTGATTTTTAAGTGGAGTTCCATTATGAAACAATTCTATTGAAACTTGCTCAACAAGAGCACAGATGCCCTCTGCTGGATTTGTGTAGGAACACAGCCCAGTCTTAAAAAACAAACATCATCTAGAAAAAAATGAATATAGCCATAGCAGAAAATAACATTGAACAAATTATGTAAGCACACAATATAAAGCAGTTTTCGACATGCTTTTGCAAAGGATCTGGCCAGCGTAGAATCATAATTAGTGTTAACTACCATTCCTTTAACTTTAAAGGGCATATTGAGATTCCCTTTGTGGTGAAGCTATAGAACAGGGGTCGGCAACCTTTTTCAGCCATGGGCCAGTCCACTGTGCCTCAGACCTTGTGGGGAGCCGGACTATATTTTGGAAAAAATAATAATGAACGAATTCCTATGTCCCACAAATAACCCAAAGATGAATTTTAAATAAAAGGACACATTCTACTCATGTAAAATTGAAGGAATGGGTTTCTGAGCAGTCAGTTTAAAACTGACTCACCCCCCCTTTCTTCTTAGCATTTCTAAAATGCTTTAACTTGAGCTGTTGAGCAAATGCATAACAAGAACACAGCTGCATAAACAAGGCTCTCTCCTTTATCAGTCTGTGACGATAAGGCTGGCCTTGTCCACTCTAAAGTGGAACAGAGATGACACTCTAGGTCAGGGGTCTGCAACCCGCGGCTCCGGAGCCGCATGTGGCTCTTTTACACCTTTGCCGCGGCTCCGGGGCGGATACTAGCGAGGGGAGGAGGCGCATGGTGCGCCCCGACACTCCCCACTGTGGCAAGCGCTGTACTGGCTGTGACGTCACATGGGGGTGGTGCGTGCGTTAGTCATGCACCGTCCCGACGTCACCTTCCCGCCCGCTGTGAGATCGCGGCTCCGGAGATATATTTGTTTTAAATGTTGCAATGGTTTTGCGGCTCCCAGTTTTTTTTCTTCGGAAACGGGTCCAAGTGGCTCTTTTTGTCTTAAAGGTTGCAGACCCCTGCTCTAGGTCTTATCTTACCACAACCCTGACGCATAGACCTAAGTCCGGGAACAAAGCCAGAGTGCATTCTCGGAGATTATGACCTCTTCCTCCAAGATAAGAGTAGGAAGAGGAAGATCCTTTTATGGTCAGAAGTACAGGAAGGAAGATCCTTTTATGGTTGAGAATACCAGAGCAGGAACATATGTGATGTCAACCTGCGTACATAGGCTGACAAGGTTGGGTT